TACTGAGAGGCCAGATCAGTCACATGAATACCACGCTCATAGTTCTCTACAATTTCCTTCTTGAATTCAATGATTATTTTCTTCAGAATCTTCTTTTTACCATTCTTGTTCTGCACATCTTGTCACCTTCATTATTGTTCTACACTTTCTTTTTACACCATACTCACTCTGCACTTTCTTTGGAGCCATAGTTGACTGAACACTGTACAGTACTGTTTGTACTGAAAAGCAAACACAAAAGCTTCACAGCAAGTGTACACAGGCCTATCTAGGCACAGCCGCCCCGTAACTCGCCGCGGCCTCAGCGATCAAGCGCTTCGCTGCCGCAGCACAACCGCCGGGGGCGCGCTGTCTCCGCCGCACCGGAAGTGCGGGCGGGCGCTCCAGTCGCCTGCGGAGAATTGTAGTTCTAGAGCTGACGCCCCAATCCCGCGGCGCGCCGGAATGCGTCATGGTCACGCCATGTGCATGCTGGGGGTTGTAGTTCTGTGGCCGCCCTTGCCTTCTGAGGCGACGGGCTCACTGGCTGGTCTAAGTGGCATGGTCTCCCAGGCCAGGCACACCCGGTTGTTGGCTTGACCAAAGAAAGGATGTGAAATAGCGGGCATGGCTTTATATTGATTGCATGTCTATATTGAATACATATTTTGGATTAAGTAGAACATATTCTTAAATTTCATTTTCGTTGGAGGTGCAGCTCAGCGGTAGAACCCTTTTCAGAGTGCGTAAGAACCTGGGTTTGATCCCCAGCACCGCAAAGAAAAAGTAGTTCCACCTGATTTTCTTGCCTTTTTAGGAAATCTTAGATATATATGTGGCCAGTATTTTGTCTCTTTAGAACTGCACGGCCTTGAGCAGAGATTTTCCAAGCGAGGCCGCAGACCTCTCTCCCGTTGTTTCAGGCTCAGCCCTGGGCAGTGCCTGCACAGCGACCTGGGGAGCCAGGGTCTGCAGGCGACCCGGCCTGAGGCTCCCCTAATTAGAGGGGCTCGCTCGGCGGACTCTTCTGTGGGGTGGGACTGGCCCAAGTGTGCACAGAGAATGCTGCTCTGCCGGGAGCCTCCGTGAGCACCTCCGAGGCTCTGAGTTTCCACCCCCTCGGGGGATATTCGGGGCTGCTGATCCCAGAACACCTGTGGGCAGGTGTATCCCACCTGGCTTACCCTAGACAGAGCCTCAGCCTCTCCTCGGCTGTGAGCCCCCCCCCCGCCCCGCTGCCCGTGTTCCGAGCAGCCCGGTTTCTCTCCCCCATGCAGGCCCTGGTGCTGTGGACCCATACTTGAGTCATTCGTCCTGAACAAAGTCTTCCTTGCCATGCTTTATTGGGTCATTTTTTTCCTTCACAGCTGAGTACAATAAATGGTTCCCTTTGGTCCAGAACCAGCCCTGGCTCTCTATACACACTCATTTCATAGATTCAGAAAACTTTCTGAGCAAAGACTGACCAGAGACTGCACATTCCCGGAAGACTGGTGCTCCTACTCACACCA